CTGAACCCTATTCAAGTCATTCGGCAATTGGGTCAGAGAAAGTCTTACTGATCACCGATCCCTGTCAAAGTCAAGGACGACCAAAGCGCATCATTTAATCGTATTCCATGGACTAGCGCATTTGTTGATGGTCTCGCTATCTTCTCTGTACTCATTTTTACTCATATGTCTCCTTGATAACGTTCTTTGTGTTACACGGTCTTCATAGCAGCCAAAGTACTTTAATGCGTCGAACGAGTAATCCATGTTAGATGTTCACCGCAAAATTTCGTCGTCTACGCTGGTGATCAACAAAGTAACACGTCTTCAAAGGGTAGAACATGATGAGAACGATGTCTTTTGAACAGGCAAAGATATTCGTATTAAGGTTGCTGGATTAGATTTAGTTTTACTTTTGCATCAGCTTAAGTTTTTGGTCGATTGATGGTTCTGCGTGTTGCCTGAAAAGAGTTGTGATTGTTTGCCGAAATATCTGTGGTAAACATTTAAACGACTGTTAACTTGATCAAAGTCATTTATTGGTTGATTATTTTTATACGGGAGGTGAATAGTATCACTAGTTATCCTCGACTTAAAGGCTCGAAATGGATTACACGAACTTGTGTTTGGTAAACACCGAGATTCAATAAATAGTAAGTTTCATCATGACCTAGTGTAATAGATGAATTTGTTTCATCAATTAAACAACGCGAAATGCATTATAAACTACTAGTTATTTGTTGCAACTAATTATAGGAACTGGCATCATTCCGTTTTGTTCTTTTGGTACTATGACTTAACAGTTTTTGTCGATGTTTTCTATGTTTAGTGACCAGCGTCCTGCATTAAAACCCAAAACACATTTTGAAGTACTACACATTTGATGCAACCTGGGTATACAAGTGATGTTGTCAATAAATTCAAGACTCACTGCAAACACCAATATCAACAGATTACGGGTACATCCAACTGTCGATAACCTAATCAAGCACGATATAATATGAGTCCCTCACTCCAACCTTATCCATCCTACACAATTTTGTTAAATGTTCTGCAGAGAGGAAACAGTGAAACCGATTGCAAGCATACTCGTTTTAATAACAACCCATCAAATTAGTGTTGTTTCATCCAAGTTACGTGTATTTTCATTGATTTCATTTTTACCACCCAGTAACGGTTGTTGAGGTGGCACTTACTTCTCATTCAGTTGGTCAGCCTAAACGTAAGATTAGGCACATATATGCATCCGTCGAAGTTGCCATATCTCATTATCATAACAACATGAAAGCCAAATACATAGGAGCAGTTACTTTAATTGTAGTAATATATAAAAAAGCATATATCTATATGATACAGGGAGGAAGAATTAGCTCGTAGAAGGGAATTTGTATAGCAATTTTAGTCACACGGTTTAAGAGATGCCATACGCCTGACGCCACTATTACTTACCCGGTGATCCCAGTAGATGTGAGCAATATTCCTAAGGCATCTTTGGGCAAATTTCAAAAGCTTAAAAGAATCTTCTACTCATAATGGTTACGATTTACAGCCTTAAAGTAGAACAGAACAAAATGTTGTACAGTATATTCGTCCCTTAATTGATGGACAGGTATCTCGCCTTCGCCATAGTTGACGAAAGTCGGCGAAGCCCAAAGAGCTTTTTGAATCCGTGCAGAGATGTTGTCAGACACCAAACCATTAGGGCTGATCAGGCTTCCTAAATAAGTGAAGTTGTCGATGCGTTCGACTATTTCAATCTCTATCCTCATTTCAGGTGTTGACGCAGGCCAGTTCTGAAGCAACAACTTGCATTTAGAGGGAGAGAAGCGCATTCCAAACATTCTGGCATTGTTGCTCAGTGCTACCAGAAGACTCTGCATTTTATCAGCGTCTTCACCAAACAGGACTATATCGTCTGCGTATTCTAAGTCGATAAGTGGACCTCCTGGTAAGAAATCAATGCTCAAAAATTTAGTCGACGAGGGCTTTATTTCTATCAGTATGTTTACAGTGAAGTTAAACAAAAATGGATAAAGTGGACAGCCTTGACGGACACCACTTGATGTCAGAAAATCAAATGACGGTTCGCCTCAAGCTCCGACTCGACTAGTAGTTTTCGAGTAAAGAGCATTCAAAAAGTTTACATACTTCTGAGGAACGCTTTTCGATGACAGACACTGCCGCAGATCCTCTCGGTCTGCAAAGCCAAGTGCTGCATTTAATCCAACAAAACCTGACATTGTCGACCACCGAAAAGCATGTCTGTGTTCTAAAACCCGATGAATAGCGAATATGTGGTCAATGCAGCCACCAGCAGTTCTCAAGCCAGCCTGATTTTCTCGTGTTTGAAGCTCACGAGTCTTAGATAGTGGCCGGATAATTAATAAGACTAGTATTTCAGATTCTATATTAGTCAAACCTATCCCTCCATAGTTGTCACAGGATGAATTTAACCCTCTCTTATATATTGTGACGATAAGTGATTGTGACCAGTAAGATGAGATTACGTACAACTCCCAGATTTTAGCTAAAATATTAGTCACTTCAATCGCTAAAATTGGGCCACCATTATTAAAGACCTCTGAAGCCAATCCACCTGGACCAGCTGCCCTTCCTCGTTTCAGACTAACTATAGTCTTTTGAACTTCTGCTAGAGTTGAGGGACCTACACCAATGTTCTAATCACACTGCCTGGGAATGGAGGATGGCTGTAGAGTAGCTGAAGGCCAGCTGAGATGCTCTTTAAGGTATTCCGCCCATCGTTTTAAACGTCTGGACTGAGAGTAGATAAATGTCGACTTTTTCCGATATAGTCTCACATTCGACTTCCTACTTACAGTTTCTCTAATTAGTCTGAAGAGCTGAATTGTGGTAAAAACAGTCGCCGCCTTTTCCATCTCTTTTGCTTTCGTTGGTCACCACTGCTGACGTTCGTTTATTAGATATTTCCTTAATCTAGATCTGACTTGCTTTCGCTCATCATTGTGTTCAGAACATAATGGGAACACGCTACGAGAAACAATCAGTAAATTAGACGTGGAAGATGTCAAATTGTATTTCGTAAACATATAGTTCAAAAGGTTGGGAGATGTCACAGCGGATCCCACAGGCGTTCATATAATTTCATAAGCAATATAAGTACCTGTTGGGGTTCAGGCAACAACTGTGATCAGAAGTTGATTTAAACGTCCTTGATATCCTGCAGATGATTAGAACGATCCGTAAAGGGAGATATTTTACTTGTTTAACTGGTGTGCTGTTCGGTTGTTTGAATCTCAGCATTCACAATGACGAAATTTTTTCTTTCCATTTCACCTAACACGGTGAGGAGTGCTGAGGTTAGGTGTAAGCCACTAGGTGAATACTGCAAATTCATTGATGAATTGGTGCTCTTTCACCTACTAGCACTACTACGGTGTGTGTTAAAAACACAAAATTTACCGCATTCCATGATATGAGCACGACTGGCGTGCAAATCAGTCGGAAGCAGGCAAGACTTGATTGAACCAGGACGTGATATCAGTCTCCAAAGTTACTGCCTGTTAATTTGAATCATATCAATAGGTGCAGCTGTTCGGGCAAAAACTGTGATCAGTAGTTAGAAGTATGCAACTGACAAATCTCATACAGGACGGACACGACTCGTGGATTCCACTGCTGACCACATCACATCCATTGTTTTAAAATGGGTGAGAATTTCACAGGTCAACATCATCCTTAAAATAACCATCATCAACAGCACCAGTGACAAATATTCGTTCTCAAGCATCATTGGAATAATACGACAATGGCATTATGTCGAAAACGTATCAACAGTCGTCAACAAACTCAACTGTGAATCATTCAAATAGTCTGTTCGAACCGAGACAGAAATCACCAGTGAAATCTGGCTGTTTGAAATAAATCACATCCACCAAATGATGATTGGTCATCTCTCGTATCTACAAATATAACATTGAAAATGCTACTCTTGGTTGGTCGATAATACTAGATATGTTTAAATTGTCTGATTGTCGAAAACAAAAACGGCCGCATTAACAGTTTCTCATTCATACTTTAGGTTCACGCATCCTCATTAATGAGAAGAAATGTGCATTCGTTATTCTCATCAAATTATAATCAGAAAATTTCAGTCGATCGTCATAGAACTTCATTTGATGTAGGGTGGTTGTAATCAGACGTTTCGATGCTCACAAGACCACACATTTTCTTGTCACTTGACTCCCATGAATGAAATGTGCTGAAACAAGTGATACTTCAGTATAGTAACATTCGAACAGGCTTTCTTAATTATCTACTGACAGTATGAGGTAATAGGCACCGTTTCAGAGGAACTTCGAGTGAGAACACAACGCTTAAGCGAGAAATATGCAGTTCTGACTAACAGATAAGATTTAAGTAAGAGTGTTTTGTAGTGTTTTCGCAGATGTCACGATGTAGTGGTGGAGAGCTGACTACCTAACTCTATTCCCAACTACTGCTACAAACTCCATAACTCAAACATCACTCTGAATCTGACCCATTCTCGAGGTGTCTAAATATTAGTCCTTGCATATCACACGCAGTCTCAGTGAATGGAAATTAGCTTTGCATCTACAAGGTCATTGGAGGAGCACTGACGGTCACCAGTAGAACACATCCCTGTCAACAATTATTCAGCAAACTAATATCAATATTAAAATGATTTGCAACTTTGCTGAATAGCCTAGCGTAATTAAGTTCCTCGCTGAATGAATTACACTATCAACATCATTGTGAGAATACGGATAGACAACAACAAGTTCGCTGTCGCAGTATCCGTCTGTTATCTAAACTTCATCGTTATTTGCTCTTCATTTGGATTCAAGTGTCGGCATCCAAAGATAGCAACAACAGAAATAGTAAGATATTACGAAATAGATAGACGAAATGAGAGTGCCCTCTTCATTCATATAAAAGAATAATTGAACACGTTCACGTGTGAGCGCTTGCCCGTTTACACAAAAGTCCAGTGGAGCAATACAATTAAAACACCAAAGTTTAAAAATCAAATACATTTAATTGTGCATTAAACTAGTTTGCCCACTTCCTTCCTTTCGAACAAACAAATGTTCGTTACATAAGCAGAAAAGAAAAGAGCATAAGGATGACTGAACATTGAGTCAAAGTTGTTTGTTCGATCATCCCTTCATGAAATTGCCTACATCATCACGCATCCACCTTTTTCTTGCAATCGATTAGCTTTGTTACACGCAAATCCTGAAACTAGACAATCTTCTTCTCCATTCTGTTGCATACACACAATCATTTCTTGTTCACATTCACAAACGGGACGACAATCCATATTTGCCTCTTCACGTGGTTGTTCAACCAGTTTACGTTGTTGACTCAAAGTTGACATGCTTTGTATTTTAACTGCACTGTTACGTTGAACCAACGAGAATGCTGGAAGACGAGGAAGCAAACCAGATCAACATGTAGGATAAATGAATATTGTAGTGTTGTCAACATAAACATTCAAAGGTTATGAGACAGATTGTCTCCTAAACACAATAGAATGATGCTGATAACAATTCGAATCACAGAATAGATTGGTCAAATTATTATTCAACTTACTCAATCTAGTTTATTCACAAGTTTCCACTGTGAAAATGAATGAATAAATCGCACCATTATTGTCTATTTATTTATTCAAGGGAAGAATATTCATTCTTCCTATCGATCAATAGTTTCTATAGAAGGGGAAGAAGGATAAAACACAAAGACAAATGATTCATCCAATCAAAATACAGAAGATGAAATCAATCATTGAATAAATGTCTCCATGTTTATTGATTATTTTCCCATTCAATTTAGTTATTCTGTTTTCGCTTTTCAATTTTTCTTTTGATTGGTTTTCTTTATAACTCACATTGATGAATTGAGTTTTTGTTTTCTTTTTGTCTATGAATTCTCAGCTTCATTACTCCCCAAAACACATTCTGATAATCAATAATTTTTGTTTGATTATTTTTCTAAAGTCAAGGCGATTCATATAACCCCTACTCCTTGTAGACTAACTTCAATGGATGATATTCGATGAATAGATTGTTTAGAACTATTCCATATTCTGTAAACAGACGGAATCATTTTGAATTGAATAAAGAATCAATGATATTTGTGTGACTGTTAGTTGATCATCTTCTGGATAATGCTCACAGTTGAAGAGATCAATTCAATTTTCTCCGGAAAACTTGAATGTTTTAATGCATTTGTGTGATTGCACTGTGAAATGCATCAACTTTCTGAATGAAAATCAAAACAGCTAGAATTCACTCGTTGAATATCTTCATATAGGATACTGATATTGTTTTGTAGCTTGAATAGACCGAGATTGATCACACATGTATTATAATCAATAAAGCTTTGCACTATTTCGTTGTTGACATTGACGACTGAATTTCGATCACATTTGCAAGTGAATATGGACAATGTGTGTGTGTGTGTGTGTGGATTGTGTTGATATAGTGATTTTGTCACACGTTCAATAGAACAGATGTGTTGTAGTTGACAGTGGAGCCCATGTCCCATATCCCGTTTATATTGGATTCAATGAGAATTCACTAGCTTTACTATCCGCACAAATCCAGTGAAGATTGATTCTAAGTGGATGAGATTTGAGCTCATTGAGCTCTGTCTGTCTGTCTGTCTGTCTTAAATTGCACTATTCTGAGAATTCCTAATTCGAACATCCATTCGACAACTCCGATTTATCATAATTTGTCAGCAGGTTTCACTGAACCGGTAAATATGGAATCCTACTGAAATTCACTAAACATCAATATTCCACTCAATCTAAACAAGTCATATGGAACGGAAGTAGAGAACGTGAGTTATCCAAGAGACAGATGTACGTGAATTCGATTTATCTAGTATTGTAGTGCACTAGAACACAAGACGGATCAACCAACTGCATCTAAATGCAACATCATCTTGGTTAAATGTGAAGACCATTCACTAAATATTTCATTTGCTCACAGTCCATCAATTGTCCTAGACTGCAAGTGGTGATGTTGTCATTGAAATCAAGTCTCACCGCGAACACCATCATCAATGGACTTCGGGTACATCCAACTGACGATAAATTCCTCAAGCTCGATAAAATATGGGTCCCTCACTCCAACCTTATCCATCCTACACAATTTTGTTAAATGTTCTGCAGAGAGGAAACAGTGAAACCGATTGCAAGCATACTCGTTTTAATAACAACCCATCAAATTAGTGTTGTTTCATCCAAGTTACGTGTATTTTCATTGATTTCATTTTTACCACCCAGTAACGGTTGTTGAGGTGGCACTTACTTCTCATATCGTTCGGAATATATGTTCACTGAAATATGTGTGCTGAACTCGAATGAATTTGGAAATCGCCCACTCTGTGATGTTTGCCGACATTGAAACGGTGGTCGATTGAACGATTTTCAGGTGTTCCGTCAAACGCTTATCGTTCACACTATCGAATCGTCATCCATTAATCCACACCAATAGTCTCAATCTACTCGACATTAAGCTAGGCGACTACACAAAATGCTGATTACTGAGAAATTGCATATCAGGGCAAAATGACTACCTAGCACCTTTTAGTTTACGCTGGTACTGCAACCAACATCCATCCGTAATGAAAATCCACCCACATAAAACAATTCTTACAGAAAACAGTTGGTTCTGTCATATGTGATAGGTGAAGTCGATTAATTTCTCTATAGAGTTCAAGTCATAGTCTACTGTTCACTGCAAAATACTAATGTCAGCCACAGAAAACTGATCGTTGGTGTAATGTTAGCTTGAATCTCCTTGGAATTCTTTACCGTGAACCGAGAGCAGGTAACCCAAGATTCACTTTGAATAACACTGTATTATGCTCATGGATAAATGTGATTGGAGATTGAGATAATTTGGCCACTGATCTTTACGATGTCATTGATTATCATTAGAGTTGAATACAGCATTCAGACGAGAATATGGCTACAATTATATGTTATACACAGGGTTTGGAGGAAGCAGATAAACACGCTATCAGACAGTGTAAATTATAAAAATAAATGATGCGTACTGGCCACTCGTCACAATGACATTCATTTTCATGGTCTGACTATTTTAGTATATTATCATAGAACTTCATTTGATGTAGGGTGGTTGTAATCAGACGTTTCGATGCTCACAAGACCACACATTTTCATGTCCCTTGACTCCCATGAATGAAATGTGTTGACACAAACCGTGCTGAAACAAGTGATACTTCAATATAGTAACATTCGAACAGGCTTTCTTAATTATCTACTGACAGTATGAGGTAATAGGCACCGTTTCAGAGGAACTTCGAGTGAGAACACAACGCTTAAGCGAGAAATATGCAGTTCTGACTAACAGATAAGATTTAAGTAAGAGTGTTTTGTAGTGTTTTCGCAGATGTCACGATGTAATGGTGGAGAGCTGACTACCTAACTCTATTCCCAACTACTGCTACAAACTCCATAACTCAAACATCACTCTGAATCTGACCCATTCTCGAGGTGTCTAAATATTAGTCCTTGCATATCACACGCAGTCTCAGTGAATGGAAATTAGCTTTGCATCTACAAGGTCATTGGAGGAGCACTGACGGTCACCAGTAGAACACATCCCTGTCAACAATTATTCAGCAAACTAATATCAATATTAAAATGATTTGCAGCATTGCTGAATAGCCTAGCGTAATTAAGTTCCTCGCTGAATGAATTACACTATCAGCATCAATGTGAGAACACGGATAGACAACAACAAGTTCGCTGTCGCAGTATCCGTCTGTTATCTAAACTTCATCGTTATTTGCTCTTCATTTGGATTCAAGTGTCGGCATCCAAAGATAGCAACAACAGAAATAGTAAGATATTACGAAATAGATAGACGAAATGAGAGTGCCCTCTTCATTCATATAAAAGAATAATTGAACACGTTCACGTGTGAGCGCTTGCCCGTTTACACAAAAGTCCAGTGGAGCAATACAATTAAAACACCAAAGTTTAAAAATCAAATACATTTAATTGTGCATTAAACTAGTTTGCCCACTTCCTTCCTTTCGAACAAACAAATGTTCGTTACATAAGCAGAAAAGAAAAGAGCATAAGGATGACTGAACATTGAGTCAAAGTTGTTTGTTCGATCATCCCTTCATGAAATTGCCTACATCATCACGCATCCACCTTTTTCTTGCAATCGATTAGCTTTGTTACACGCAAATCCTGAAACTAGACAATCTTCTTCTCCATTGTGTTGCATACACACAATCATTTCTTGTTCACATTCACAAACGGGACGACAATCCATATTTGCCTCTTCACGTGGTTGTTCAACCAGTTTACGTTGTTGACTCAAAGTTGACATGCTTTGTATTTTAACTGCACTGTTACGTTGAACCAACGAGAATGCTGGAAGACGAGGAAGCAAACCAGATCAACATGTAGGATAAATGAATATTGTAGTGTTGTCAACATAAACATTCAAAGGTTATGAGACAGATTGTCTCCTAAACACAATAGAATGATGCTGATAACAATTCGAATCACAGAATAGATTGGTCAAATTATTATTCAACTTACTCAATCTAGTTTATTCACAAGTTTCCACTGTGAAAATGAATGAATAAATCGCACCATTATTGTCTATTTATTTATTCAAGGGAAGAATATTCATTCTTCCTATCGATCAATAGTTTCTATAGAAGGGGAAGAAGGATAAAACACAAAGACAAATGATTCATCCAATCAAAATACAGAAGATGAAATCAATCATTGAATAAATGTCTCCATGTTTATTGATTATTTTCCCATTCAATTTAGTTATTCTGTTTTCGCTTTTCAATTTTTCTTTTGATTGGTTTTCTTTATAACTCACATTGATGAATTGAGTTTTTGTTTTCTTTTTGTCTATGAATTCTCAGCTTCATTACTTTTTGTTTGATTATTTTTCTAAAGTCAAGGTGATTCATATAACCCCTACTCCTTGTAGACTAACTTCAATGGATGATATTCGATGAATAGATTGTTTAGAACTATTCCATATTCTGTAAACAGACGGAATCATTTTGAATTGAATAAAGAATCAATGATATTTGTGTGACTGTTAGTTGATCATCTTCTGGATAATGCTCACAGTTGAAGAGATCAATTCAATTTTCTCCGGAAAACTTGAATGTTTTAATGCATTTGTGTGATTGCACTGTGAAATGCATCAACTTTCTGAATGAAAATCAAAACAGCTAGAATTCACTCGTTGAATATCTTCATATAGGATACTGATATTGTTTTGTAGCTTGAATAGACCGAGATTGATCACACATGTATTATAATCAATAAAGCTTTGCACTATTTCGTTGTTGACATTGACGACTGAATTTCGATCACATTTGCAAGTGAATATGGACAATGTGTGTGTGTGTGTGTGTGGATTGTGTTGATATAGTGATTTTGTCACACGTTCAATAGAACAGATGTGTTGTAGTTGACAGTGGAGCCCATGTCCCATATCCCGTTTATATTGGATTCAATGAGAATTCACTAGCTTTACTATCCGCACAAATCCAGTGAAGATTGATTCTAAGTGGATGAGATTTGAGCTCATTGAGCTCTGTCTGTCTGTCTGTCTTAAATTGCACTATTCTGAGAATTCCTAATTCGAACATCCATTCGACAACTCCGATTTATCATAATTTGTCAGCAGGTTTCACTGAACCGGTAAATATGGAATCCTACTGAAATTCACTAAACATCAATATTC